TCTATATAAAATGTGTCCTTATTTTAGAAAGAACTGACACACTGTTTCTCGTGTGGGTGAGTTACTTATAATGCTACTTTCTTGTTTAATCTCTTTTCCATCCTTCCTTTGTATAAATAGACACCACTTAGCAAGATCGTAGCTTGAAACAGAAATGAAAGCCAGTATCTTTTTTCTCCCTCTTCCGATTGAAGCTCAGGCTGTTCGGCTGCTTATCGATATTATCTATAATGGTAATAATACATATTTTGCCTCCTAGCAATTATCTAAGGAATGCACTACTCCCCCCACTGCTTTTCTGTGGCCAACTCTAAAAGACCAGAGAAATATTTTTGAGTTAACACACCTGGCCTGAGAAGGTAAAGGTGAGGGCAGGGATGGAGACTGGCTCCATATCCCAGGGCAGAAGTTGTCTGGGTGGGAGGGAGGGATGTCGAGTTGGCCACCCGCCCACCCAGTCACACTGCCTGTTCAATTATTGGCTCCCGGGGTTTGGCTTTCTGTGGGAAACGGGCCCAAATGGCTCTGAGTCAGTGGTGGGATTCAATTTTTTTTTTTACTAAAGGTTCTGTAGGCGTGGCTTGGTGGGCGTGGCAGGAGGATACTGCAAAATCCCCATTCCCTCCTCACCCCTCTAACCTGCTTTGCAGCTCCGTTCTCCTCTGCAGGGCAACCAAAGGAGACCCAGCCAATCAGCTGGGACTCAATGGGAGGCAGAGAAGAGATGGGGTTGGCCGGTTCTCCAAACTACTCAAAATTTCCGCTACCAGTTCTGGAGAACCGGTCCGAACCGGCTGAATCCCACCTCTGCTTTGAGTGTTTAAGGTTGCAGACCCCCTGCACTAAACGAAGAGTTGTAAGTTGAGAACCACCTGTAATCTCATCTCATTTTCTGAGACGTTCAGGGCAAACTCCAGATGGGAGTGGGATCGATGGGATGTGTAGTCCAGGACTTGGAGACTGCGCATGGATCCAATCCATTTGAAAAAAAACGGCGCCTCTCGTTCGAGAATATTCTTTTCTCTTTTGTTTCCACGGTTTAGGTTTCTGTAAGGAGCTTGCTGTATTTTTGGTGCGGCTTTTCTTTCCTTTTGTTTTCTTTTCATGTATTTTTAAAGGCAGCTTTTTGGTATTGTGCAGTCCCCGCATGCGACAAGAGAAGTGGTTCTTAAAAATAGCAGCGTTGGCTGTGGTCTCGGTAGTGAGTAACGCAAGCTGCCTTTAAGAGTCGGCTTTATTTCCAGTTCTCAAGCGCTGCATTTTCTGCTGTGGGGCTAAATAACTCTTTGAAACTTGTCCTCATCGTGCTTTCCAAGTCCCAGTTGCAAAATTGTGGGGTCCTCTCGTGAGCTAAATTTCCAGGTTGGCCATGAAAGGAAGTGCTGGTTTTTTGTTTTTTCAAACTCAAATGGCCTCCGGTGGTTTGTGTGTTGTTGCTGTTGCTGTTGGTTTTTGTTTTTTTTTAAATCAATCTTCCCTGTAGCCCTGATGGTTTGGAAGAAATCTGCATATCTCCCATATCTTTATTTTGCGAAGAAAATTGTGTTTACTTTGAGCCAAAGAAAAGAGTGGCTCCCATTCTAAGTGGTTCGGGACCAAATTGTGCATGGAATAAGAAATTTGGCTTTTTGTAGGCGGGCAGTTCGGACAAGAAGCAATTTTTGAAAGAGGTGATGCCTTTGGTGCAGCTACGACTCGGCCCTGGGCCTTTTCATATCAGCCACAGCCGGGGTCTCGGGAAGGGGAAACGCAGCCAAGAAGACGGATAACATATTCTCGGTGCTGGGGCAGGCATGTGAAAATAACCAAAGTTTAATAGAATAGAACAGAACAGAATTCTTTATTGGCCAAGTGTGATTGGATACACAAGGAATTTGTCTTGGTGCAAATGCTCTCAGTGTACATAAAAAGAAAAGATACATTCGTCAAGAGTCAAGAATCCTCAGGTACAACACTTGATGATCGTCATAGGGTACAAATAAGCAATCAAAGATTACCTGAGGCCTCACGTCCAGTTGGTGTGGAGGAAGGAGATTTTCCTGACTAGCTGGGAATAAATCCCACCGTTGCCTTGGATTAAAAGAACGAAACCATCTTCCTCGCAGACTCTCTACGATGGCCCAACTGTTCTCTGTTAGTCATTTGTCACATTCATAACGGCGCACACTCCTGAGCCAACCCAGCTCGGAGTATAAATCAAAAGCAGCCTTGATAAAATCAACACAATACCACAATTGCACCCTGAAATAGAACTTCCCAATCTATTATAAACTTATTTGTTCTTGAGTCAAAAGCCAGAAGATGCTATTGTGGAAGCGCACTTTCAAAAGAATGAAAGAGAATAATCTGCTTGGGGACAAGTATCAGCTGTAATATAAGAAGATGGGGAGGGAGGGAGGAAAGAAAGAAAAGGGGGGGGAAGGGAAGGAAAGAAAGAAAAGGGGAGGAAGGGAAGGAAAGAAGAAAAGGGGAGTGAGTGAGGAAGGAAGGAAGGAAGGAAAGGGAAGGAAAGAAGGAAAGGGAAGGAAGGAAGGAAAGGGAAGGAAGGAAGGAAAAGGAAGGAAGGAAGGGGAAGGAAGGAAAGAGAAGGAAGGACGGAAGGAAAGGAAAGGAAGAAAAGGAAGAGAAGGAAGAAAAGGAGGGAAGGAAAGAAGAAAAGGGAAGGAAGGGAAGGAAGAAAAGGAGAGAAAGAAGGAAGAAAAGGGGAGGAAGGGAGGAAAGAAGGAAGCTGTAGAATGGCCCATAATTGATTACTTGTGCAATGTTTTTCTCTCGTGACATTATGAAACTATTCAGGGATAACTAACCGTCATTCATACCAGATTAGAGCCTTTTAAAATAGGTCTGAATTCAAAAGTCATCCACAGCTCATGCTCTTTAATGCTGCTGCCCCTCCTTAAAAATTAAAATCAAATCCATATTCCAATCAGCTGCCGGCCTCCTCCGTTTTCACAACCTCCATGTTCCTCCAGCGCATGCCAGAGAAACTAGAATGACCTCTTGACCAAGGGCAGATTCCGTCATCTGGCATCTGTCTATCACGGATTGCCCGCTGGGGTCTCAACCTGGCCATTCCTCCATTGGCTGTTTGCTTGGAGACGTTTCATTACCCAACTAGGTAACCTCATCAGCATGAGGGAGGAAGGGTGGGGTTTTCTCCCTGTTGGCGTACAGTCGCTTGCCCTACCCAATGTTGGTGGGATGTGGTTTTCTTCCCGATAATCTCTTGATTGCAGTTACAGTTTTCTGCTCGATGGTTTGTCTGGTGCTAATCCCTGCTTATCTGGGGGCTTTGCCAATGGGAAAGGATGCGTTCGGATCTGGTGGTTTCCTTCACTTTTTATTCGAACGGTCCTCAAATGTGGTTTATCTCTGTGTGTGATCTGATGGACAGGTGGCTGATCTGTCCACATGCTAGTTTGAAACTCTTACAAACCATCTTCAGAAAAGAGTCTATTTGTGTTGTGGGGCCAGGACCATCAGGGAGTGGAGTGCTGCCTTGTGGAGGCTGGCAGCAGTGAGGAAGAGACCCCCGAGGAGCCTGTGCCCAGGGCACATGCGTGCAGGGCTGCTCGAAGGAAAGAGCAGCTGCAGCAGCACGGGTGACTCGGGAGTAAGGCTGCAAGGTCATGGTCTCTCCCTTAAGAGATAAAAGCCAGCTGAGAAACCGGAGTTCTTTGCAGGAAGCAAAGAAGTTTTTGCACTCAAGCCTGGTGGACGTTCGGATTCTCTTAGTTTGTGTCTGGAGACTCTTTGGGTTTGAAATATTTCTTAGTAAGTTTATCTAGTGTTCTTGGCAACCTTGCACAACCTTGGCAAGGCTCGTTCTTACCAGAGACAATGAGTTTGAAACAGCCTTTTAATCGGGAATTCGTAAAGAATCATTACAAGGTTTTGCTGTGACCTCCGTTTGGTGTTGGTTTCCTGGGAACAAGGTTTGGGTCAGAACAATTTGCTACTTAGCTCAAACTTTAGGGAAGGATCTTATTTTTAAGCCTATTTTCGTGGCATTCCGGCCGGCACCAATTGGTTAAATTCCCGTTTAAAATAAGATGAAACCAAGGGATACATGGCTGGGGGTTGGGGAGATAAGCACAGCCAGAACATCAAAGCCTACTTTGTGTGTGTGTGTGTGTGTGTGTGTTTTTACTCCCTCCACCCCCACCCCCCACCCCCGAGAAAACAGGAGGCTGAACATGTTGGGAAGCAGGTGGAGTTTATCATAAATGAGATAAAATTGGCACATTAACGCAGAAAGAATCAGAGGTGTCAATGGAAGGTCT